CCGTATCACATTACTTGATGCAGATTTTCATTATTTCATGTGATACGCTGAAGCTCATATTGCATTTAATTAATATAGAAGTGAGTATTATTAAAACTTTTGAATTTTAAAATGTGTGAACTTTTCTTAAATGTGTGAACTTTTCTTAAATGTGTGAACTTTTCTTAGATGATGCTTGTTTTTACACAAATTATAAACAAATTATGTATGATAGTTTTAAAAATATACAATTTTTTTTTACACTGAATACGTTTGTGCTTCATATAACCTTTGTCTACTATATAAGTTTTGAGTTATAAACATATGTACATATATATATATATATATATATATATATATATATATATATATATATATATATATATATATATATATATATATATATATATATGTATATATATATATATATATATATGTATATATATATATATATATATATATTTATATATATATATATATATATATATATATATATATATATATATATATATATATATATATATATATATAATATATATATATATATATATATATATATATATATATATATATATATATATATATTTATATATATATATATATATATATATATATATATATATATATATATATATATATATATATATATATATATATATATATATATATATATATATATATATATATATATATATATATTATATATATATATATATAAACTTCGCTTAAACATGAAATCAATTCTACAAAATAAGTTCATGTTACATTGTATACTCCATTTCCCCCCTAGATTGAGGCAAAAATTTTTTTAAAGGTTTTGAAGTGTTAAATATTTTTTTATTTATTTAATGCTATAGAGTTTTTTTTCAGATGGTATTTTTTGATCTATTTTGTCATTGAAAAAAAATTGTTTTCATTTTATTTATTTTTACTAGTTTTTTGATGATTTTTCCTTAGTTACCCTATTATACCCCAGTTTCCTCTCTAAAGCAAACTAATGTTAATGCAATTAAATCTGTTTTTGATATTGTTGAAACGTCATTATTCTCAATTTTTATTCTCTCTTTTAAATCAAGTAAATTACTCCGAATAAATTAAGAGTTGCTAATATTACACCAGTTTTCAACTGAGAATAATTTTTCAAATTGCAAACTTATTTCAGTCTTGCCTTGTTTTTCAAAAGTAATTAAACGCATCACGTATAACAGAACTTAATAATATTTAACTGGAAACAATGTTATAAATAAATCAACTTTTAAAAAGTACCGTTTTACTGATAACACAGTAACAAAATTGATAAAGCATGTATCAAAAGTAATTTAAATAAATCACATTTTAAAATAATTGTTATACCACAGCGTTTATATCAAATTTCCAATGCGTTTGACACAGTAAACTTAAAAATACTTATAAAAAAACTAGAACAAATGGTGTTCAAAACCAAAACTTTGGTATAAACAATAGTTAAATAACAGGAAACAATTTATATTTGAAGAATCAAAAGGTTTAAAAAAAAGCGTTATAACATTTTATTGATCACACAGTAACAAAATTGATAAAGCATGTATTAAAAGTTATTTGAATAAATCAAATTTGAAAATAATTGTTATACCACAGCGTTTTTATTAAATTTTTCCAAAACGTTTGACACAGTAAACTTAAAAATACTTATAAAAAAACTAGAACAAATGGTGTTCAAAACCAAAACTTTGGTATAAACAATATTTAACTAACAGGAAACAATTTATATTTGAAGAACCAAAAGGTCTAAAAAAAAGCCTTATAACTTGTGGCGTATCTCAGGGTTCTATCTTTAGAACCATTACGTCAACATTATTCCTCTTAAATTACCTAACCTCTAACAAAACCAACCTAGTCTTTGAATCAATAAAAATAGAGATCAATCTCAAACTTTCCTATGAGTATATTTACATTAAAAATTGTCTTGGATTTGTAATAATAACATTATGTAGGAAGATCTGAAAGAATTATACCATGCCAAAACAAAATCTTTTTTTAAGTCATGCATTATTAAAAAAAATATATTTGTTTAGTTTATATTTTGCTATCTTTCTTACTGTAATATTGCCTGGGCATGAACAAATCACACTTAACTAAAATTAAATCTGTAGTAATCAAAAACATGCTTGCATGGTAGTTTGGTAACAAATAAACAAAGGAGTTGAGCTTTGTAAAACTTTTTTGTATATTTTATTGAAAAATAATAATAAAGATGTAATGCAATGTTTTGGTGCAACTTTTTATAAAACTACAATTTAATTACAATTTAATTACATTACAATTTAATAATTTTAGTTCACTTAAAATCCAGTTAATTTTCTAAAAAAATTGTCTAAAAAAGAACCTAATAGAAAAAGCATTTACTTTATTTAGCGCACCAATCTTACAGAAAAATGTTCACGCTTGACTACTTTAAAATAGAAAACATTTAAAAACCTTTTTTTTGAATGTATATTATTTTAGACAAAATGTTTGACTGGGTATAAAAGATATTAAAAAGTACATCAAAAGTTTAATTAGCAAGATATTAAAAAGTACATCAAAAGTTTAATTAAACATGATTTGAAATTAGTGACTCGTTAAGTAGAAATGCTTCTTAAGTCCGTTAAGTTTTAGTTTTACTTAAGTCCTCCTTCACTTTAGCTGATTGAAAAACTATGCATAAACACATTTCTTCAGACAATTGAATGGGGATTATGGATTACCTCTACTTCAAGTGAGCCATTGCCTGTCTCAGATGGGGTATGATTAAAAGAGGCAGAACTATAATATAAATTTTCTTCGTTAATATCAAAGCTAAAGTAAAAACCACCTTGTGACAATAATTCCTCAAGATGATCGCGTAGTTCTGCAAATGATGGACGCAGTAATGGATTTTCATTCCAACATTGCAGCATAATATTGTATCTAAAAATTTAAATCATTCTTCAAAAACGATCAAAATATAGTGCAAAAAGAAAAAAAAAAAAATTGAACTATTACTTACAATGTGGTAGAACAGTTATCTGGTCGATCCATTCTTTTACCAGATTTTAAAAATTCAAGGAGCTCATTATTACTTATAGTAGGATAAGGTGTTCCACCTGTCACGAAAATTAAAGTAAATTTTAATTTAAAGTAATTAAAAAAAAAAAACTAAAAATATGTTACTTAATAACAGTCACTATCGACGTTATAACAACTCACCAAGGGTAACGATTTCATATAAAACAACACCATAGGCCCAACTGAAAGATATACCAAAGTTAAGTTTAAATCGTAAATTGTTTATATTTCAACTAATTATAAAACTTATTAGCATATAGCATGTAAATAAGACTTTCAAAAAAATAAAAATGAAAATTACACATCACTGTATGAGGTGAACACTAGATCAAGGAATGCTTCAATTGACATCCATTTGATAGGCAAACGACAACTTTTATTGGATGTGTAGTTCAATTCATTTTGATATCTTTGTGATAAACCAAAAATTGAAACTTTTATGTTTTTCTTAGCACCAACTAAAATTTTTCTTGCCGAAAGTTCTCGATGCACCACTTTATTCTTTGATAAAAACTCCTGAAAAAAACTATGTACGGTTATGCTTGCTATATAACATTTGGATGTGAATATAAATCAAAGGCAAATGAAAACGTGAATTTTTTTTTTTTTTTTTTTTTTTTTCACAACTACAAAGTATTTATAATTAGCCACAGATTGGCGGTAAAGATATGCAAATATAAATATCATAAACATAAAGTTCGAAATCAACGAAGTGAAAAAATATGTAGTTGCATAAAGCTTCGAGACATGATTAAAATAAATACCAATTACAACAATATAATAACGTGAACGTAAAAATAATCCGAGAAATATATCTCTATATTCTTTCAATTAAAATAAAAAATACAATAAAAAAAAACTAATCTGCTAATATTTCGGAAAAGCGTTTAGATGTTTCACTAAAAGTTTATTTAACTTATTTTAAAATAAAGTTTATGCATAAATATGATAAAAACGAAATTAGTGTAAGATTGATAAAAAAAAAATTATTTGTTTATATTATTAGGAAGCTGGCAGAAATCTTAAATCAGTCTTGTCATCGAGTATCTTTTACTAAACGTGTAATACACATAAAAAATCAGTTGCATACGTGGTATATATGTATGTTTTACATTATATACCTTGTTATTAATATTATAATTATACTTTCATATCGATTTGTATTAAAAGTTACATTTATTTCTTTTATTTAAATTTAAAAAATTCTTTATAGTTGTTTAATTTGATAATTGTAGGTTTTAGCTTTATTTTCAGAGTGTTCCTTGTTTAAGTTTAATAGTGATTCGTTTCTGGAAGCTAATTTGTTAAATAAATAGGGACCACAATGTGCAATTAAGAATTTTTAGAGTCTTATTGTTTTAAACAGTATCTTAAAGTTGCCTCTTGGTTTTGTATTGTAATTATTTATATTGTTTTCGTATTTAATAAAAAAAAAAAAAAATTTAATCTTTAAAAAAAGTCGACGATGTACACCGTTTTTCACTACAGACACCAAAAAAACAAAAAATTATAGAGAAGAGTACCTGCAATTAAGACTTGTCGTTTTTAAGATCGTATTGACAAGAAACTTTATTTCAAATGGATCAAGCTACTTGTCATTGATCTAAAGAACTTTAATGTAACAACTGCAAAAGAATCAATAATTACAAAAAAAAGCAGAAATGAGCTTGTAGCGAAGTCAACGATAAAAATGTGCAAGTGTAAATGACGAAAATTAAACGTAAAATTTGCCAGTTGCAGCGTCGACCAATCAAAAAATGTTTTAAATTTCTTCGCTACTCATAAATAAATAAATTATTTACAAAAACTAGCAACAAAAAAAAAAAAACAGAAAAAAAAATAAAATTTCATATAGACATTTTTTATGTACAAATCTTTGGAGAAATGTTTTTACTTTTCCAAACTTAATAATAATAGTAAAGCTTTGCGCTTATTTAAAAAAGTATCAACTTATTTTGTGTTTTTGATTAATCTATATATATTTCTCCAATCCCTAATTAACAAAATACACAATCAAAAAACTTGATAAAAACATGATAAAAATAAAAACAGAGGGCTAAACATAGGAGAATGAAGCATCCAATCCATGGCGCAATCCAATCCATGGCGCTCCAGACTGAAAGCCTATTTATCGCGCAATCGTAAGTCGTGACTGTAGGCTTTTTTTAAAAATCCAAAAAACGCAAAGATAAAGAGCTCAGATTGAAAAACTTGATCAAGAGGTTTTAACTTTTGAAAACTAATCTTGTTTATTCTTTGTATCTCCAATAAATTTGTATTAATAATGTTTTTTATATTATACATTTTGTTATAAATTTTAATTTTGTTTTGTAAATAATAAAAACATTGTATTTTTACTTACTTGTTAACTTCTAGCAGTGTTGGGAAAAATATAATATATATATATATATATATATATATATAACTTCTAACGTTGTCTATTAGATATAATGTTAGGAGTTATATTAAACACACAAACACACACACACACACACACACACACACACACACACACACAAACACACACACATATATAAAATACCAGTTCATGGCTTTTCTAAAAATAATGACCAAAAACATATTTGGATAAAAAGTATTCCAAGTTCTAATCTTTTAGTTTAATATGAAACTGTTATTTGCTAATAACTTTGACCAATAGGTTTTGAAAAAGTACATAGAAACTGTACAAGGCAAAGAAAGGTCAAAAATGCCACCATTTGTATGGCCAGAAACACCTTCTCCATGTCTACGTCATTAATATTATTAGGACATTTTCAGTGTCAATCTTAACATATACAGTTGGAAAAACAATTAATACTCAATCTATTACATTTTATGATGGTATTATTTTATTTCTTGTTAAAATTTTTGAGAGTTTACATTTTGAAACATTTCATTGAGGAACAAAATGTTTTTTAAAAAGTTGGTGTAAAAGTAGTATGAATATTGTAGAATTTGGTCAAAAATTGAGGAAATTATACATTTTTTAAACGTCATGGAGAAGGTTATAGGAAAAACATTATTCAGCAACAAATATCGGTTACGTCTGCAAAACTAGTTGGAGTAAATATATGAATCAGATAAAATTGTAAAAAAATTTGAATATTTTTTAACCTCTCGTGATTTAAATAATCAACGAAGACATGATTTGTAATTATAAAACTTTGAAACTTCACCAAATGAAATGTTTGAAACATATCGTTTCATACGATAAAGTATAAGCAAAATTTCTAGGAGTACTCGTTGACGAATATGTAACATGGAGAGATAATATAAAAAAAATTGTAGATAAAATATCATGGAGCATTGGCCTACTTTTTATGACAAAACCATTTCTAAACTCTTATATTTCTCTATTGTTCATTCCTATCTTAATTATGCTTACATTGCATGGTGTAGTACCAAATAAAAAAATTAAAAATCTCTTTAAAATGGAAAAACATGCAATTAGAATTATATCTAAAGAAAGCTTTATTCACTAAGTTAAATATGTCAAATATCTACCAAATAAATATTTATTAATTTCTAATTTTTATGTTCAAAGTTTTTAAAAGTATTATTCAAAATTCTTTAGTCCCTTATTCAAAACAAATCAGAATAGGTTCTTAACTAGATATATAATAAACACCTATATACAACCCAAAGTTAAGTTTGCGGCAACTGAACTATCAATTTCAATTTCAGGACCAAATGCATGGAATAAAATATTTTGAACTGAACTTAAAACTCCTACAATATTAAATGAGTTTAAGGCTAAACTTAGACAGTTGTTACTTAAAATTGATTTACAACAAAAAAAGTGATAATGGTATTCAAAGAACAACTAAATGGGAACACCTTCAAGCTTATATCAATTAGAGTCAGAAAAAATAGTCGAAATATCAGACTTAGATAAAATTTCAACGATAACAACAAGTCAAATTGTATGTACTTGTCTTAAAAGTTTTTTAAATAAGACATATCATGTCTTGATGACCTATTCTTGAATAATTTTAAATTTTAAAAATACTTGATAAAGTTTTTAAAAGTATTATATCAAAAATCTTTAGTCCCTTATTCAAAAGTAATCAGAATAGGTTCTTAACTAAATATTTAAAAAACACCTACAGTTATGTGCATGAAAATAGCAGTGGCACAAAAAATTATAAAAAAACCTTATTAAATTTAATGATATGCATAATTTCGGACCGTAATTGTTAATTTTTCATAATTAAGTGTTATCTGACACTATTTAGTCTAAAAAAAGCTTATAAACTTAAATGGACAATATCATACTACCATTTTTTTAAAAAAGGTACTTTTATCACATTTAATGAATGCAGATTTACCATTAAAAAAGTAAACAAAATATAACATTGATGAAAAACTATTTATTCATCTTTTGAAAATACATCTAATACTTAGTTCCATGACCCTTATTTTTCAATACTGCTTTACAACTTCGTGGCATTGACTCGATTAGATGACGACATCTTTCTAAGAGAATAGCTCTCCTAGCTGCTTCAACTGCTCTCCAGAGTTCCTCTTTATTGGCTGGTCTAGACAAAGATACTGCTCTTTTAACATCCCCTCACAGGTTTTCTATCGGGTTCAGGTCTGGGGATTGTGCTGGCCAGTTCATTACCTCAACCTTATTCTCTACAAACCAATTTTTAGCTTTACGAGAGGTGTGTTTAGGATCGTTATCCTGCATAAAGATCCACTTGAAAGGCATTTCTTCTTTTGCATATGGTAACATGACTTCTTGCAGTATTTTAACATAAGCAGTTGCATCCATGATGTCTTCGATCCAAAAAATAGGGCCCAATCCAAACCAAGAAAAACAACCCCATGCCATCACCTGGCAGCCACCATGTTTTAATGTCTTGGTGGTATACTTTATATTATATTCTGTTCGTGGGGGTCTTCGTACAAACTTTTCGTGAATACCTGGATTAAATAAAACAATTTTAGTCTCATCACTCCAAAGAATATTACGCCATTTCGATGATGGCCATTCTTGATGCTCTTTAGATGCGATTTAAATGCGATTCGATTTTTAATCTGTCTCTTATTTAGAAGTGGAGTTTTTCTGGGCCTTCTGGCTTTTAAATTGGCTTTTATTAAACGTCTTCTCACTGTCGAGGACGATATTGGTAAATTTAATTCCGTTTTTATGGCTGTGGAACTCATAAAAGGATTTATCTTCGCACATCTAATAATTTTACGGTTCGTTTTCAATGACGTTTTAAATTTTCCCCAACGCAATTCCGCTTTTTGTGTCCATTTTTTGGCATTGGAAATCATTTTTGCAGAACATTGTAAAGCATCTAGGTTGAATTTGTAAGTTTTACCATCTTTTAACATATTTAAAATTATTTGACGATTCTCATTGGAACAATGTTTTGCTCTACCCATTTTAACTGTAATAAAATTGTGAAACTTAATAAAATATCGTTTAATTTTAATGAACAAACACTTACCTTAATGTATAAAAAAAATTGATGGTAAAAACAACTTTTAAGGCACTAATAGAAAATAAAGTGTATATTCACTGCTATTATAACGCACAGTTAATAAAGCAAAATTTTATAATTTAATTTAAATTCTGATACATGTATGTATAAACAGCAATATTGCCAACCTTTATTATATTTAAAAACCCTAACAGAAAATAATTAGAGAGTAAAATATACAAAATTAACCATCAGTAAAAAAATTAAATGTATTTTATAAATAATTTTCTCCCACTGCTATTTTCATGCACATGACTGTATATACAACCCAAAATTAAGTTTGCGGCAACTGAATTATCAATTTCAATTTAAGGACCAAATATATGGAATAAAATACTTTCAACTGAACTTAAAACTCTTTCAATATTAAATGAGTTTAAGGCTAAACTTTAAAAGTTGTTACTTAAAATATTTTAGATAAGACATATTATGTCTTGATGACCTATTCTTGAATAATTTTAAATTTTAAAAATACTGCAATATTTGTAAGAAAAGTATTAACCTGGTATAAATTTTTAAATGGACAGGTTATGGAGCTGATTTAAGACACCTTGATCGACTAGTTTTATGATATGGTTATTGAAATGTATTGTAAAAATAGCAAACTTGAGAAGTAGAAAGGCCAGAAAACTCTCCTAACTTGAATCCAATTAAGGATTTGTGGAACATTCTTTTTAAGAGAAGAAAATCTCTTCTTTAGATTCAACAAAAAAAAAAGAGTTTAGGTTGAAAAATTACTTTACCATTGATACTAAAATGAAAAAAATAGGATAGCAGCAACAAACTGTAATAAAAGTATGACAAACCGAATAATTAAAGTCATTTCATTGAAGGGAAAAATGACAAAATACTAATAATTTTTTGTGACTTGCAATTGAAAAAAGTAACTGTTAGTTAAAATGTGAGTAAGTTGATTTTGAAATGTTATTTTTATATTAAAGAAACATGTTTTATTAACAAAATATAACTAATATTGCAGTTATACTTTTTTTTATTTTTTACAGACCCTTGAAGTTAAAAATAAACAAAAGTTGTTGATGATTATAATATTGTGGTCGGGGACTGTATTACAGTTTTTTTTTAAATTAGTAGTTATCTTTATGACTACTATATTCAGAATTCAGAAGCTTCTTATGTATACTGGGTAAAACTTGACTAGTCAAGAAACGATGTAGCTTCTAATATTGTAGATATGATGTAGTTTCTGATGTACTGCGTAAAATTTGAAAACCCAAATTTTAATGAAATTTTCTGTTGTTATAGTATTCTTTTAGAAAATTGATTCTCAGAATTTTGTTTATTTGTATTATATTTGCGTAGCATTGTGTATAAACTATGTGAATCGCATGTGACAAATGATATAAAGCAATATAAAACATTTAAAAAAAATTGATTTAAAAAAATTTTAATCACTGGGAACAACATAAAACTGGTAATATATGACAAATGATCCCACAACTTTGAAAATATGACAAACTTTATATTTTAACAATTTGTTATACTCATTTACAATTGTTTATTATGATTATTCCGTGAGATAAGAGGTTTTATGAAACCACTCTTCCATTTTATGGTAATAAAAGAAACGTAATACAAAATGATATTGCTTTATGTGGTAAAAAAAGTGAAATTTTATTATTAAACCTATTTTATTGTTTGTAGTGTAGACACAAAAATATAAAAAAAAAGCAAGCAAAACATTTTAATACAGAAAAAGTTCACACTCACCATTCCGCTTGCAACTTGGTATGCAAAGCTAAGCAGATCTTTAGGTGTTATTATTTCAATATCCTCAAGGGGAATTTCATGATATATTGCTTCTGTTGTGGAATTCCTAACTGTTGTTCTCTATTGAAGATCAAAAAGTTAAAAAAAATAATGACCCAAAAATGTATTTTAGTTTGAACCTATTTATTAAAATTATTGGTATAAATATGAATGAATTAAAAATATAAAAATCAACTAAAACCTCAAAAGGTTGTACGCTTGGTGCGTACGCAATTCTTTCGTCTTTCTGTACCCGAAGCTAAAAAACCACATAGAAATTAGTTTTTTAATGGAAACATTATTTTGTAGGAGTTACATTTTTTCTTTCATTATGGTAAAGCTCTAAATTTCTTTTAGAAATGTAGAGCTTTACTATAAATTTACAGTTTTATAACAAATACATCATTTTACCACGATTATACTATTTTTCACAAATTTATTGTTTTACTATCAACATATTGTTTAATTACAAATATGAGGTTTTATTACAATATCATTTACACAATGTTCTGCCAGTTTTACTTTTTATGTCATAAAACGCGTAATCACTCCAAATATTTGATCGCCAATTGATTCCTTTTCTGATCACTGAAACTTTAAAATCTGAACAAAAATTACAACAACCACTGTTTTGTATATAAGCATTCTACCAATATATTTTTTTAATTAAAAAATCGATTATCATTAGTTTTTTAATATTTATTAAAAACATGTAAATTGTTATGTGAAAATTGAAACGTGTAATGTAATTGTAAAATAACTTTATAACACTTTATTTTTAAATAATTAATAACTTATAACACTTTGTAATTATTTATTTATATTTTCCAAAACCAGAAATGAGGAATAAGTTGGATTCATACATTTAATTATTGTTTACAAATCGTATTTTAAAAAGAATTGATAGCACATGAACACATTAGATTCTCCTAAAAACCAATATTTTTAAATAGTATATATGCAACCCCTTGATGTGTTCTATATGATAAAAACACTGGAATTAAAAAACTTTTAAATAAAAAATATATTTAGAGATTGGTCAAGACCCTTGAACATACAACAAGTTCTTAATAATATTAAATTATTAGGAGCTTGTTGTATGTTCTTATATAATGTTGGTCTCAAATAAAGCAAATTAATATGAAACCTTTTAAATGATAATTATATTTTATAAAAATAAATATGTTAAATTAAACAACATAAAAAAACAAACTTATTAACTAAAAATAATCAAAAATGCATTTTTAATAATTTTTTCAAAGTAATTTTTATTCAATTAGTTTTAATAATTTATTTATCATTTTGGAAATTTCATATAATTTTGCTTAACTTTTTGATCAAACATGATACATTTTAATTTTTTTTTTTTTTTTTATAAGGTTTAGAACATGTTGAATGTTTGTTAAATGTTAAATGGTCTTGACAGAACATTAAAAATATTTTTGATTTGAAAATATTTTATACCTTGAGTTTTTTTTCAATCATATAGAACATATTAAGGGGATGGGACCTGAGCCATGGCTAGGCTCCCCAACACCCTCTTATTAGAAGGGGAGGAGATTAGCAAAACTAAGGGTCTTTTTGCAAATCTTAGAAGATCTTTTTTTCAGTAAAACCTAACGGAAAATTTTCAAAGATTTTTAAGGCCCATATGAAATGTTTTTGGAGATGCCTTTAAACTAATAGCCACGGCACTGGGGGGGGGGCAGAAAATATATATTTCAAAAAAATTTTATATTGGGATACTCTAGTACACATGCTGTGAAAATACGTTTAAAAATATTATTTTACAATTATGTAATAAAGTTTGAACATAAACAAAGATTATTGGCATAAAAAAAATGTTTTTAGAATTACTACTTTTAAATAAAAGGGATGTTTTAATATCTCTTACTTAGAAAGTTTGAAGTAAACAAAAAAATAATAAATATAAATCTCTGAAAAGTTGTTGGCCTGCGCAAATGATTTATGGATATAAAGTAACTTCTTTATACCCATTATCGCAAGAAAAAGAAGAGATGATAGAGTAATTAATGATGGGAAGTATGCGTATAATATTGGATCAGTAAAAAAAATTTAAGAAAATTTTTAAACTAATTTCTGATCATAAAGTGATCTCAAATAAAATTTTCGATGTAGCCAAATGCAAATTTAAATAAGTTAATGCAAAAAGTTAAACTGTGATGGTTGTTA